GAGAGCAGAGCGAGGAGCAATCCCGGGTTTTAGGAAAGGATGGAAGCTGCTTTCCAGGAGCACCCACAAAAAGGCAGGGCCGAGTTGTCCACCCTGGGAGCTGATTTTGGCCACAATCACCCCTCTGGGATGTGCAAATTCCGTGCCCTTGGTGGTTCCCTCTCCACCTGCCCCTCTGGAAGAGCGGGAATGCCGCACATTCCGACAACCACATCCGACCCTAAAATTGTACCGGCTCCCACATCCAACCCTAAAATTGTATCAGTTCCTGCCTTGTCCCCAGGACTTGGGGAAAGGAGAGGACAATCCCTGGCTATCTCCATGAGCTGTTAACCCTCCCCACCCCAGAGGAGCATTTTCCAAAGAGCGAGAATTCCCAAGGGAAGAAGAACATGGGCATGGCTGTACCCAACGCAACCTTCGACCGACGGATGGCGGGGCCTTTCCCAGCCCCGTGTGTGTCACCAGGCAGATCCACAGGCAGAGAACAAACCAAACCCAAGCCGCTGCCCCCCCAGGCTGGCTTGTCCCCTCCCAGGACCATGGCCCTGCACCCTCCCTGCACGCCTCCTGCTTTCCTGGGGGACGCTCCCGTCCTCCTCGGCCGCCCACGCTCCCCGAGGGACCCGAGGACCACGCAGGTCTCTGGTGTCCAGCAGGTCTGGAGAGCTCTGTTGTCACCAGGAGAACGTGGGTCACGGAATTCACGGATGGCATCGCCCACTGGCCACGCTGGTGGCTCACTTTTTGGTTTTTTGTTGTTTTTTTTTTTTGTTTCCCCAAATAACTTAATCTCTCATTCCACAGAACAGAGGAGCTGCATGGAAACGCTCGGAATCCGCTGCATGGCCTGATGGTCTTTTCCCACTAAACGCTCTCCAGGAACCATTTTTTTTTTTTTTCCCCCATCCTTTGGCCGAATTTTTCCTTTCCTCCTCCTGTCTTTACATCACTGTCTCTCTCTCCTCTTCCACCAGGACCGTGGGTCTGTCTCCGTCGTAGAGCCCGGAGCCGTTCAGGTATTCCTCATCCTTGTTGTACTGCTCGGGGCCGGAGGAAGGCATGGAATTCTCTGAAATGGAGCCGTTTTTCACATAACCTGGCAGATTCCTGTGGCCGTTGAGGGTCCCTGGAATAAGTCTCGTGTTGAGGTGGAGGGCGAGCGCCCCTCGGGTGGCTACGTTTGTGATGCTGGTGTGGGAAACCATTGGTCCATAACTGTAGGTTGTGCTCCCACTCCGGGCTTTCCTTTTAAAGTCAAGTGCTAAAGTCCACCTGCTCCATGACTTCTTTATTTCTGCTTGGACCTGAGGGGGAAAAAAAAGGAGGGGAAAAATAAAAACCATGAGTGGGAGAAGAAAAATGCCAGAAAAATGTCCATAAACAGAATGGGTGGGAAACTCTGTGGGGACATGGAATTTCACGGGTCTTTAGGGGCCTCTTCCAAATCAGGAGATTCTCTGATTCCATGAAATTGGAATAAAAGCAAATTAAATAAATAATAGGTTCACATTTAAAAAAAAAGGAGGGGGGAAAAACCCCATGAATAGGAGAAGAAAAATGCCAGAAAAATGAGGTGTCCGTAAATGGAATGGGTGGGAAAATTTGTGGGGACTTGGAATTTCATGGTCTTTATGGGTCCGTTCTAAATCAGGAGATTCTGTGATTCCATGAATTTGGACTGAATTTGCATTAAATAAATAATAAATTCACATTAAATAAATAATAAATGCACATGAAATAAATAATGAATTCATATTAAATAAATAATAAATCCACATTAAAAAAAAAAAAGGAAGGGGAAAAGCTCCCATGAATGGGAGAAGAAAAATGCCAGAAAAATGAGGTGTCCGTAAATGGAACGGGTAGGAAACACTGTGGGGACTTGGAGTTGTCATGGTTGTTATGGGCCCCTTCCAAATCAGGAGATTCTGTGATTCCATGAATTTGGACTGAATTTGCATTAAATAAATGATAAATTCACAATAAATAAATAAAAAATTCACATGAAATAAATAATAAATGTACATAAAAAAATAATAAATTCACATTAAAAAAAAAAAAAAACCCAAAAAAACGAAGGGGAAAAACTCCCATGAGTGGGAGAAGAAAAATGTCAGAAAAATGAGGTGTCTGTAAATGGAATGGGTAGGAAAACACTGTGGGGACTTGGAATTGTCATGGTTTTTATGGGCCCCTTCCAAATCAGGAGATTCTGGGATTCCATGAAACTGGAATAAATGCACATTAAATAAATAATAAATTCACATTAATTAAATAATAGATTCATATTTAAAAAAAAAAAGGAAGGGGAAAAACCCCCATGAGGAGGAAGAAGAAAAATGCCAGAAAAGTGTGATGTTCATAAACAGAATGGGTGGGAAACTTTGTGGGGACTTGGAATTTCATGGTCTTTATGGGTCCCTTCCAAATCAGGAGATTCTGTGATTCCATGAAATTGGAATAAATGCACATTGAATAAATAATGAATTCCCATTAAGTCTGCCCTTTCCAAATGAAATATTGGACAGTGGGAAGCTGGAATGGCTGAAAATGTGGGAAAGCTCTGCCCAAAGGCTGAGGGACGGAGAGCAGCACATCCAGGAGGGAATTGTCTCAATGTCCCATAAAAATCAAGTGTCAGCAGGAAAACCCCCTTGTGAGGCACCTGAATCCTGAGAAATTTCCCTGGAATGGGAATTTTAGACTGAGTCTAAAGTAGGTTGCTAAATTTAGGGTGAGATCAATTCCCCTTAGATTTTATCTTTGTTTTGTCTGCAGAATGCAGTGATTTTTTAGTTTTATTTCCCCTTAAAGTCCATAAATTCAGGTTATAAATGCCCCCTAAAATACATAAATTTAGGTCATAAATTCCCTTTAAAATCCATCAATTTCCTTTCATCCCAGTCTGTGGAGGTTCTTCCCTGGGGTGCAGCCACTGACCATCCACTTTCCTAATTAGCAGCAATAGAGGGAATTAATGGAAATGAGGAAAATGAAGTATATAATTCTGGAGATAGATAAAAAAGACAAAAGACACCAGAAAAATCCAGATTTTTTTTTTTTTTTGTTGTTAATCAGTGACTCTATCAATCTGGTTTTCTTCCCAATTTGAAATGAAGCAGCACTAAGCAGCACTTGTGCTAGGAAATCAAAAATTCCACATTTTTTTCCTCCATTAGCTGCTTCCAGTAGCTCATTTATTGGTGCCATGCTGACCCGGGGGTTTTCCACCAGAAAAAAAAAATGAAGATTTGAATTTTTAATGCATCCTGAGAGACCTTGGACTGCAAAATAAAGATGTTTGTTGTAGAAAAACGAGGACGTGCTGATGTGCATCCACCTGGGTGTGGAATTAACCCAAGGAAGGGAGGGGATGAAGATGTTCACGACTCACCTCTCCATTGCAAAAACAGTATATGATGGCAACAAAAAATCCCTGGAAGGAAGGAGGAAGAAACAACAAATTAATGGGAATTTAGGGAAATTTGAGTCTCTTTTCTGCCCAGCACCCCCGGGTTTCTCTGGGATTGGGGACATTTAAAACTTTCTGTGTTTAAAACCTCTCCAGTGGGGCAGGAGAGGGAAACAGAGAAAATTCCCTGTGGATGGAGCTCCTGGTGGACCAGCAGATTGTCCTGGGGGACAAGAGGCCAAAGCAATCCTGGGGTGCATTGGGAAGAATTGGGAAGAACATTTTTTCCTGGACAAATTTCCCATTTTCTCGTCGCGTTTTGCAAGCAGAAAACAGATTTGAGGCTCAAATATTTTCAAATCCCCCCATGAATTGATTCTAGCGTGCTGTAAACCCAGCCCTGGTTCCTAAGGGCACCCACATTTCCCTCCTCTCCCCGATGAAATTCCCATTTTTTCCCTGGAGTTCCAGTACCTGGAAAGAGTTGAACAGCATTTCATAGTGCATTTGAACTTGCCAAAGAATCCCTGACACGTCTGTGTATGGCATAGCCATGAAAACAATATAGTGAACGCCAAACAGAGGCATAAGGACGAGGGTAGATTTCAGCAGCTTCCTGCAGGGAAAAAAAA